TCTATCAATGTCACAAACAAATAGGTGTCTACTTTGATCACTGATCATCTGAAGTTTACAATCATTGAATCACAAAATTGTAGTCACAAAAATGTTTTTACTTAGTCCAAATAATGGTGTTCGCACATGCTTCTCAAAATTGAACCAACAATAGTTAAAGCTGAGATTAGGCAGGAAGCTATTGCTGTTTCAGAGTATATGCTATCAGAGAGTCAACAACACATCCAGACTCTCTCCTTACAGGAAATACGCCTTACTGTGATTACTCAGTCAGCCTGTGATGGATCTCTTCTCCAGTATGCTAAAGGCAGCCTGGGCCGTAATTCAAACAGAGCATGTCAAACACATCCAGTAAGAGGATGTGTTTCAGTTTTTTGTTATTGAGACAAGACATGTTCCGTGGCAAATGATCAGTCAATCCAATGGCATTTCCTATTAGGGCTGGGCTTTCAATAAATCATAGCCTACTCTTGCAGAGCCAAAATAATAAGAGAATGATCTCCCTTAGAGTATTCAGATTTCTGGTTAAATCTGTATGCAGTTTCAATTGCTGATTTCTAAATCCTAAATCCTAAACATGTAGGCTATTTTATGCAACAACCATTTACTGTAAACTTTTGCTTTCGTTCTGATATGAATGTTACAGTTAAACTGTTGAAAGTAACCATTGACTTCCATAGTATTTTCCCCCCATATTATGGAAGTCATTGGCTACTGTCAACTGTTTGGTTACTAACATTCTTTAAAATATCGGTAACACTTTGTGTTTAATGCATTATAAAAGTAGTTTTAATGCATTAATTATTCCTTGTAATGCACCTTATAATGTATTGTACAATCTCATGAATAATTGTAACTACAGTTAATACATTATAACATTTATCAATTAATTATTATGCATTTTAAATTCGGTTATAATTATTTCCGACATGATATAATGTATTACAACGCACATTTTAGATTTATAATGCATTATATCCTTTAATAGCCCTGTATAAGGTGTTATACATAAAGACTTTAAGTAGTGTTACCTAAATATCTTCTTTTGTGCTCCGCAGAAGAAAGAAACACACACAGGTTTGGAACAACATGAGGGTGAGTAAATGATGACAGAATTAGCTTTTTTGGTGAACTATCCCTTTTATGGCCTTTATTAGCCATTTTTGACCTTTGACCTTTATCCCTGTAATGTTCAACCATTAATCAAGCAACAAGTGTAAAGTAAAACATGTTTTATGAGTTGTTCCTTGTTAAAATGCTGAGTAAATATATATATCCATATAAATTTATTTCAGTTTCTACAGAATTCAGTTTTGCTGAAATCCATTCCTTAGACCAGTGTTTCTCAACCTTTTTTTAGTCGCGGCACCCTTTGGAAATTTTAACAAACTTGTGGCACCCTACAAAATTAATTTTGTCACAATATTTGAATTTCTAACTTCGATGTGATAATTTGAAAAGTATAGATATTCGGTACAACAGGGAAGAACTGCAGAATATAATGTCATACAGATATTTTTAATATTATAAAAAGAAATGTGTCTATCAATGGTGGCAATCAGTAGGCTAATTTCTAAGAGACCAATTTATATGACAGATTTTAATGTAGGCTTTTATTCATATGTAAACATTGTGAGATAGCTAGTTATAATGGTAATTAAACAAAGTTTTGCTCATTCAGTGTATTTTTGATTTTACAGTTGGGTAATTTTGTTGCAGTAGCACGAGATAGCTTGATTTCAAACTTTGAATTGAATAAAAAATGACAAGGAGGCTAAGCAGTTAATAATAAAATAAGAACAAATAAAGAAATTACTAATGATAGCACAAATAAAAAAAAAATCACGATAGGCCTACAAATGAAATAAATTGCTTTTTAGTTTTTCAGGTAGGTCTAACACACAATAGGGACTATTAAGAGATTTTTTCTTACCAATTATCCAAATAATGTTTAATCCTAGAAAGCTATTATCATCAGAGGACACATGAGCATAACATAGCGGTTAGCAGATCAATGAATGAGAGGGCAGCGTTACCAGAGTTGCCCATATACCACACCATGTTACAACACAGTAGGGCTATTGCAGACAGAAACAATACTGTACTACAGAGATGTTTCCTGTCAGCTTGATTTCTGAGTGGACTTTGCTGTTCCGATGAGCATGAACGCGAGCGACTGAGCGGAGCACACACACGCATAGAGCGGATAACACGCAGAGCGTCACACCACGTGAAAGTGAATCCTGAGCGGTGAACTAATTTTCGGCAGCCGAAATTTCGGTGCATCTCTAATTATTGCCGACATTAGAAATGGATATTATATAATAGCTGCTTTTTTGAACATTTTAGCAATTTAAAAATATTAAAAAATGATTTTTTTTTACACGGCACCCCTGCTCTCGACAGACGGCACCCCGGTTGGGAAACACTGCCTTAGACAACGAATATATTTATTTTGCACAATATTTTGTCTTGCTGTGGCTCTCAGATTTGTGGCTCTCAGATTTTTTATTTTTTTTTTGCACATATGAAATATTGCATACATGAAACACAGCATTTTTAGAAAATACTTAATACCATACAGAGATGTCGCAAGCCATGTTGATATGTTTACTGCATCCCTAACCATTTATGAAGGAAACCCACCCCGAGTTGAGAAAGCTTTTCCTGCCAAGTAGATGAGTTGACAGTCAGTGGTTTCCGAGGCACTGTCTCAAAAGCCCTTCTCCTATCAAGGGGGGCCATCTGGAGTTATCCAACCAATCAGAGTCCAGCAGAGTGATCAAGTGAAACGAGTAGGAAGTCAGCATGGCTCATACCACCCCCTGCCAAGGTTCATCTGTGCTCATTTCCTGTACATCCTCTGGGTTTGCTGTGTCCAATCCACAGGAAACGGTGGACGCCTTATGCACACAGTTTAACAGCTATTAAAAAACAAACTGTCGAAGCAAACAAGTAAATGTTTTAGTTATGTTATCATTTGCATTCTTGGAAAATCAGTTTTGTTAAAGATTGTGCATTATAACTGTATACGTATATAAATAAGAACACACACACACACATACACACACACATACTTAAGATTTTTGAATGTTTTTGAAAAAAGTCTCTTGTGCTCACCAAGGCTGTGAAATAATATTGTGAAAGATTACTACAATTTAAAAGAACTGTGTTTTTTGCCGTGATGGCAACGCTGAATTTTCAGTGTCTTCAGTGCCACATCCTCAAGAAATCATTCTAATTCCTATATTGTTTCTCAGTTATCAGTTATTATTGGTGTTCAAATATGAATAATGTTTCTTAATATTATCAATGTTGAAAACAATTTTTGCTGCTTAATATTCTTGTGGAAACTGTAATCCATTTTGTTTTTGTTTTTTGGGATTCTTTGATGAATAGAAACTTTTGTAACATTATAAATGTCTTAACTGTCACATTTGACTAATTTGATGCATCTTCGCTAAATAAAATATTGTTTTATTTTTTCTGCCATTTATTAAAAATATTTTGAATAGTTGTGTGGTTTTCGCAAACATAGTAATATTTATATGGGATTTTATACATTTTGCTAATTAAATGTAATAAAAAAAAACGAATTAAATGTAATAAAAATGATCCCTACTCTCAACTGAACTTTACATTTGATGAAATGTAGTTTATTGAGTTATAAGTCAGAGTAGTAAAATTATAGCTGAAGGGCGATCATTGACCTCACAGGGTTAGGGCCAGATTGGCACAGCCAACACTTGGCTGAGATGCTGCCACTGAAGACCCCTGAGCATTGAGGATGTTTGGGAACCATTCAGTGTCCCAGCAGTGTTGTGCAGAGTGTTTTATCTCCTGGACCAGTACTGCTGCTGACACTACCCGAGCTACTCTGGCAGGAGATAAGAGGAGTTTTCCCCAACGACATCAAGCAGAGATGAGTGTGAGGAGATAGATCAGGAGAAAACGGTTCGAAAAAGCCATTTGCTGTGTTTGTTAGCTGCATTGAAATTACAGATGAACGTGTTTTCATATGATTATGCCTTTAACGATACATAAACATTGTGAATTAGGGCAGGGTTTTTTGATCTTCTAGATGCCACGGACCCCCATAGATGATTATCCTCATACGAGGGACCCCCATCATAAAATTTTAAAGAATTTAAATTTAAATTTTTTTGTATGAAGGTCCAATTTAGACTGTAAGAAGTAAATATTATAAATATGTGTTAAATTTTGTTTGGAAAATATTAAATATTAAAATATAGGTTACATTACTAAGTTTTACTGATAGCATAAGTTTTTTGTTTTAATCTAATTTTTTATTTATTTATTATATTTTCATAATTCATTCATAATCTATTTTGTTATTATTTCATCCATTTATTTATAACAAATTGTTATATTTAACTATTGATTTTATTTGTATAAAATGTTTATATTAATCACATTTTATTTGTTTGTTTTAATTTTATTTTTTATTGTTTATATATATATTTTTTCACATTTTTTAACACTGTTTTTCTCTAAACATTTCCATAGACCCCCAGTACTCTCTGGTGGCCCCCAGTTTGAAACCCCTGTAGGGTATTTTTGAAAGGCAGTTGTTGTAGGGGCTCATATACTCAGAATCTTTTGAAGGTTTACATCACTATTGCCTATAGGACAAAAACATGTGTTTAACAGTATCAGCTTTTTTTTTAGCAAAATTAAATTTAATCAAATATATAAAATAAATTATAGAATTTATTATAAAAATTAGAATACTACTTAGTTTATCTGACTTAAATAATTACTGACGGGCTACAACCCTTCCAAGGAGCCCAGGTCCCGCTTGCAATGTTGCAGCTGTGTGCTTGACCTGGGATTTTCCCTGTGTTTTCATAAACATGAATGCATTAATTATATGTGTTTGCAGCTTTTCCCTCAATCTCGTTCATGTTTGGATGACAGGTATTTGATAAGGAGCCTGTCTGTTTGAGCTCGTGACCCCTCCAGTCACGAGCCGACGGCTTTATAATTGACTGGTGACTAGCGGCATGCAGGAGCGCTATTTCCTCTCATTGTCGAGCGGTCGTGAGCAGGAAGTCGGAAAAGAAAGCAGAAACTGAGGGGGCAGGGCCATTTAAAAATACCTGCTACCCTACAATAACGGGACCACAGACAGTAGCCCTACGGGACAGTGCTGTGGAGACTCGCAGCACAGAGGAGAAACCACGCTTGACGCAAACGCAGTTGCGCTGGAGTAAATAAACAACGCGGCGGGGGGACATCTGCCTGTCACCACGTATTAGGCTACTCAAACACGTAGGATTGAATGCGTGGAGACAGAAATCTAATGCAAAGAAGCTACCTTGGATGCACTTGGGATTTAGCATAGGCTACATAATGTGTGCTATAGGTTGTAGATCTTTAGCGCAATAAGAAGGCAGCAAGGCAGGTGCATCTCTGAAGGCAGTTCATTGAGCAGGACGTTGGTGGTCTTTCAGTTGATGGTCTTTCTTTCACTGTAAGTGCGCATATCAAATGTACTACTGAATTATTCCTGAACAATATTTGATATGGCATCTACAATTGAACGGAAAACACTGGAAACGAATGAGTAAGTAAGACATATTGTTTGGGTTTCCATTTGTTTATTGTTGTTGTTTGTATAGACAACAAGTAGGCTACAACCAAAATAGTGCAATAGCCTATATTATGTAGCCTATTGGTTATAACAGTATTTGCGCTTAGTTTAAAAATGTAAGTCACAGTACAATTATGCCAATATTAGTGATCAGACGATTATACATTTGTAATAATTACATTTGGACTAATTTAAAGTCGCATTAAAGTATCATCGCGTTTTCACGAGTTAAGCGTGTGAAGGATAAGCTTACTCTACGCATTAATAATCCAATGAAACGCTACATTAAAAAAAATAATAATAATAAAAAAAAATTAAAAAAATTATCAAGTTATGTTTTATTCGTAGCTCCACAGTTGTAGCTGGTAGCCTATAGGAAACATTTTAGGGAAAACTTGGTAAGACTTGGCACACTTGGTAAGATCCTAAAGAAAGTTGCAATAAAATAACATAATTTGCATAATCTTTTTTATTGGGGGTAAAGGAATGATATTCCAAGAAAATTAGTCTTATTAGAAAGGGGACACTGACACGTAGGCTATATTATGACGATTTAAATGACTAATAATCTTAATAATAGGCCACATTCATAATAGACCCTTTGAATATGATATGTACCAAATATGGCAATTCTATTTGTATCGTGAGATGTTTTACATGCTTCCTTTAATGAAGTTTTGACACTACAGATTATTCAGAGTGGATTAAACAGCTCTAGTCATGAAATGTGAAATGTGTACATGAAATCAAAACAGTCTGCACTTTTGCTTATACTTAATGCTATAAAAAAATAAAAAAATTGGTAACCAGTGCGAATAAATAGGCTAATTTAAGTATGTGTGCACTGTGCAGTGACCCAAAGCGCCTCATTTGCCTACTGCACTTAACACTATTCTCCCTTGGGATCACGTGGCAGTAGTTACATCTTAAGCAAACATTTATTTATAAATCAAATGTAGGTACATCTAGAAAAAAAGTAGCGCATCTGATTGCCAATTTTATCCGTATGGAACACACATAACCTTAACATACCATAAATCTTATGCTAGTGTTTTCAATAAAATACGCACTAGTGCCATCTGGTGTTCATAGTTGCGTATCGCGTGTTTGAATGTAAACGCTAATCCACAGGGAGCCCGTCGACGAGAATGTGAAATGTGTACATGAAATCAAAACAGTCTGCACTTTTGCTTATACTTAACAATGCTATAAAAAAATTAAAAAATTGGTAACCAGTGCGAATAAATAGGCTAATTTAAGTATGTGTGCACTGTGCAGTGACCCAAAGCGCCTCATTTGCCTACTGCACTTAACACTATTCTCCCTTGGGATCACGTGGCAGTAGTTACATCTTAAGCAAACATTTATTTATAAATCAAATGTAGGTACATCTAGAAAAAAAGTAGCGCATCTGATTGCCAATTTTATCCGTATGGAACACACATAACCTTAACATACCATAAATCTTATGCTAGTGTTTTCAATAAAATACGCACTAGTGCCATCTGGTGTTCATAGTTGCGTATCGCGTGTTTGAATGTAAACGCTAATCCACAGGGAGCCCGTCGACGAGGTGCTTCAGATGCCGCCGTCGCTGCTGACCTGTGGCGGCTGTCAGCAGAGCATCGGGGACCGCTTCTTCCTCAAGGCCATAGAGCAGTACTGGCACGAGGACTGCCTGAGCTGTGACCTCTGCGGCTGCCGCTTAGGGGAGGTGGGCCGCAGGCTTTACTACAAACTTGGCAGGAAGCTGTGCAGGAGAGACTACCTCAGGTAAGACTGGCAGGCCTGAATTGAACTTTTCATTCTTTATTAACCCTGTGAAGCCTGACATATGTCAAGTCAAGTCAAGTCTATACAGATTGTGTCAAAACAACTGTACAGCATTAATTAAGAAAATAGTGTGTCATTAATGCAAAATGACAAGTAAACACTCAATTTTCAGTTAAAGGCAGTTCATCATTGAATTCAGCGATGTCATCATCCAGCTCAGTTCAGTTTAAATAGTATCTGTGCAATCAAGTCGACGATATCGCTGGAAATTAAGTGTCCCCAACTAAGCAAGCCAGAGGCGACAGCGGTAAGGAACCAAAACTCCCATCGGTGACAGAATGAAGAAAATACCTTGGGAGAAACCAGGCTCAGTTGGGGGGCCAGTTCTCCTCTGGCCAGACGAAACCAGCAGTTCAATTCCAGGCTGCAGCAAAGTCACATTGAGCAGAGGACTCAACTGGTTCCTGTGGTCTTGTCCTTGACAAGGTCCTCACTGGGGATCTGTCTCTGGGGCTCAGGGAGCCAGTGCAGTGTTGACAGAACCGGGCTAATGTAATAATAATCTTTAAAAAAAATTAAATGGAACCGTTTTTAACTCTTAAGTCTAGTATGTGTTTCAAATGTGTGTTTTATTTTTAAATTAAGTATCATATTAAATACTTGCATCATGCTTTTATGGCTCATATAGTATGATATTGGAACCCATACTTTTTAGGAGAAAAAAGTTAGTATGTTTCAAATATGTGTTTTTATTATGTATCATATTCAATACTTTTATGGCTCATAGTATGATTTTGAAACCTAATAGCCTATAGGCCTACTTTAGGAGAAAAAAACACCTCAGTATCATTCAGAGATGTAAACTGAGCAAAGTATGTAATTTAGTGCAGATGCTGATATTCATATGGCCAAAATGATGAAATTCTGACATCTTTATAAAAGTATAGCAGATTTCTTACATTAAATGCAAACAATTTTATTGTGGCAGGCAAATAAAATACAGTGCTATACAATGATGACTGAGGTATTGATACTCAGATTTTAACATGATTTTTCTAAAAAAAAATAAAAAAAAGAATGAATGGATAAACAAGTACACCTAAGTTGCTTCAGTCAAGTAAGGGTTCAACCCGAAATACTATTAACAGAAAATTAGATCTGCAAAACAACAATGAAAATGTGTGTACTGTGTATATTTATTATGAATATATAAATACATACACATACATGTACAGTATATATTAAGGAAAAATATGTTAGATTTATATGTGAAATATTTATATATATTATAAATGATATATATACAAATATATATATTTAAAATATATACATATTTGTGTGTGTTTATATATACATAATAAATGCACAGTACACACATATAGTATGTAAACACAAATTTTTATTTTGAATGCAATTAATCGCGATTGATTGTTTTGCAGCCCTAAAATGTAATCTTATTTTTACTTTATAAAAAGCTGTAAAGATATCACAGCAAAAAGACAACTTTTACAAATTACCACGACCTGAAGGAGAGGCATTTTTAGAATGATAATAAAAAAGGCCTTTTATTTGCTAAAAAGTCATGTAGTAGCCAAGTTTTGATCATAGTTTAGAGGTTTTAGAAATGTATCAAATGTGACCCTGGACCACAAAACCAGTCATAAGTAGCACAAGTATTTGTAGCAATAGCCAAAAATACAGTGTCAAAATGAAAAATTTTTCTTTTATGCCAAAAATCATTAGGATATTAAGTAAAGATCATGTTCCGTGAAGATATTTTGTAAATTTCCTACCGTAAATATATCAAAACGTAATTTTTGATTAGTAATATGCGTTGCTAAGGACTTCATTTGAATAACTTTAAAGGCAATTTTCTAAATTTTTGTATTTTTTTGCACCCTCAGATTCCAGATTTTCAAATAGTTGTATCTCAGCCAAATATTATCCTATCCTAAAATCATTAATCAATGGAAAGCTTCAATTTATTCAGCTTTCAGATGATGTATAAATCTCAATAAAAAAAAAAAAAAGACCCTTATGACTGGTTTTGTGGTCCAGGGTCACAAATATGATACAGTAGGCTTTATAGGGTTAAACTGTATTATTGGCAAATCACAATTTACAGGTAATAAGTAAGTAAATGAATAAACATGTATTGCATGCATATGTATGTCTGTAAAACAAATATTCTTGTGAAGCATCTAATGTGCTTAAAACTTTTGCACATTACTATAAAATCATATATTAAAATCAGGTGGTTGTCTATCAAAACCTTCTTTCAAGTGCAAATATATTTATGTTTTCTTCTCTGCAGACTGTTTGGTCAGGACGGGCTCTGCGCTTCCTGTGAAAAGAGGATCCGGGCTTTTGAAATGACCATGCGTGTCCGTGACAAAGTCTATCACCTCGAGTGCTTCAAATGCGCTGCTTGTCAGAAACACTTCTGCGTTGGAGATCGCTACCTGCTCATCAATTCGGACATTGTGTGTGAGCAGGACATTTTTGAGTGGACCAAAATGAACGGCAGCATAGTATAGTGTTCTACTAAAGTCCTAAGTGAAACGTAACATCCTGTCAACATTTGCAACAAACCCTTTACTAAAAAAGAATAATGATCTTTCTGGCTCCAGGAGTCACCGCCATGGACGTGTTATAAAATTTCATCTCTTATATTTGAGAAAAATTGCCACCAGCAACATACACTTGTTTTTCTATTGGTTTATTTTTAATAACAGCGTAAATACAGTTTGTAATGTATTGCAATAAAAGCCGATTCCCTTTGCTACTTTCACAGAAAGTTAGATTTGGACTATAGTGTTATTTGTTTTGAAGGAACACAATTGCCATAAAATGTTAAAACATCTTTCTTAGAGCCTGAATAAAGAAAATTACTTGTATACTCTGGGTTTTCTTCCTGACAGGAGAAAGACTCACTTATCAATAACAACATATTACAAGACATAAATACAATAAATAAATTACTTATAACAAATACAGTAACACTTTAGATTAGAGAACACATATTCACTATTAAGTTTTCCCTCAATAAACTCCTAATTTGCTGCTTATTAATATATATATATATATACAGTGGGTACGGAAAGTATTCAGACCCCCTTAAATTTTTCACTCTTTGTTATATTGCAGCCATTTGCTAAAATCATTTAAGTAAATTTTTTTTCCTCATTAATGTACACACAGCACCCCATATTGACAGAAAAACACAGAATTGTTGTCATGCAGAATAAGGCATTAATATGTGCCTAATAAGTACTATTAAGCAGCCAATATACTAGTAATATGCATGCTGATTAATAGTTGCTGCAACTAGTTAATAGTGAGAATTTGTCCTAAAATAAAGTGTTACCATCAATGCTATTTAAATACATACTTCACATAATAATGTACAGTAGTGTGCAAAAGTTTGGGGTTGTAAGACTTTTAATGTATATAAAAGAAGATTCTTATTTGCTTTTTATTTTATTAAAAATTATAAAGAGTTTTCTATTTTAATGTGTTTTGAAAATGTAATTTATTTCTGTGATGTCAAAACTGCATCAGTAGTCATTACTCCAGTCTTCAGTGTCACATGATCTTTCAGAAATCATTCTAATATGCTGATTTAGTGCTGAAGAATCATTTCTTTATTTTTATTTTGTGCTGCATAATATTTTTGTGGAAACCATGATACTTTACTTTTTATAATGTTCAGTAGAACAGTATTTTTAAACTGATTTTTTGTAATGATGTAAAAATCTTTACATCAATCTTTACATAATTAACCTTATTAATTTCCTTAAAAATCTTACAGAACCCAAACTTTTTAACCATAATCTGTATCAAAATCAAACTAGGTGTAGTACAGGTGCATCTCAATAAATTAGAATGTCGTGGAAAAGTTCATTTATTTCAGTAATTCAACTCAAATTGTGAAACTCTATTTCATGTAATTTTGGGGGAAATGTTTAGGTTATGCAGCTCACTTAAGTAAACACCACTATCATATACACTAGTAGGCCTACAAATTGAGAAATGAGAACAACTGTCAGATACAATCTAATCACAGCCAGATTAAGGTCTGATGCTATAGAGAAAACATTCTCATTTATCCAGTCATGTAGCTTAATTCAAAAGACTTGAAGGATACAGTGACAAATCCCAAAAAAATCACATATAATGTATGCCATATTGTCCTTTATATTCATACCCTTCTGGGGTTCACAGAGTTCAGAAGACCTGCGTGAGGGGGAAAGCCCTGTCATGGCAAAGGAACACATCTGAAAGCCACAGGTTCTAAACAGAGTTAGAATGCTATTATGTGTTTTCCATCCCACTGCCCAGCTTTGAAGGAGTTCTGGTTCTGAGCTTTACCAGAAGCCAATGTTGAGACAGAAGTGAATGCTGCCCTTCACTAAACTGGCTTGGCTGACCACACTCATTCGACACAGTCGCAGACATTTTTGTTAGCTGTACCACCTCTGCTGGCTGCCTCCAGTAATTCATGATTCAAAACAGGCCACCATGCCACGAGGGGAAACTGAGAGATGGTCCCTGTGTTTTGCAGCTGTCTCTGTAAAAGTCAGTGAAAAGTTGTTGTTTGTGGAGCTCATTTGCATTGGTGTTCTCACTCTAAACAGAAGGGGGCGCCAAATATCCAAACAAATGGGCATTAAAAAAAAAAAAAAAAGGAAAGTATTGACATTTGTATGATTCGCTTAAAATGTCAATTAATTTGGTATCTGAGTTTACTAGAAATGACATAACCTTTGATATAAAAATTGAAGATGTACACATTCAGTTTTTATTGAAAAATATTTTTATTTTAGGAAGCTTTTATATTCATAAATGTTGTCATACATGCCTTGTTGTTTTCTGTTTTGTTTTTTCTCTCATTATTTTAAATGTTTTTTTTATTTTATTTTGTGTAAGGTTCTTTGACTCTCCTTTTTGATTTTGTATTGTCTTATTGTAGCTATTTTGCCTTTTTGTTTTCAGAAATAAAAAAAGACATGTAAATGGATTTGTTTTTTCACTGGAAAAATTCAGTCACTTGCTCACTAATGGATCCTCTGTGAACGGGTGCAGTTTTCACTTCACAAGACATTAATGATTATTTTTGGATCATTGTGATGTTTTATTAGCTATTTTATCAGGACTCTCATTCTGACGGCACCCATTCACTGCAGTAGATCCAGTGGTGAGAAAGTGATGTAATGCTCAATTTCTCCAAATCCAATAACAATCTACTCCTTGGATGGCCTAAAGGTGAGTACAATTTCAGCAAATTTTCATTTTTGGGTGAACTATTTCTTTAAAGATATTCCCATCATTATTTCCCAGAAGAAAAAAAAAGATCTAGTTCATTCAACATGCATACTTGCACCTTATCTTTTGTGATAACATGCCCCAATAGTCTATAGATATAGATATACAGGCCCACCAGTGTGAGAACCAGCCCTGATGTCTCCTATATCTCAATACTTTTGTGGGATATAAACCATGATTTTTTTTTCTATGACATCCCTGATTACTGTTATTGTTCAATTCGTCCTAAATGTTTTGAATCACCTCTCTTTTTCTCATTTGAGTTCTATGACATCTGAGCTCAGGGTCTGCTTGGCAGACTGCAGACTGACAAAAAGCATTAATATAGATACAAAAAATCATGTAACAATTACACAGCAAAATAGTCTTCATTACTCTAAACCAGGGGTGGGCAAACTTGGCCCTTCCAGGCTACTTTCCTTCAGAGGTTAGAGGTTAAGTTTGCCCATCACTGCTCTAAACCTTCATCAAGATTTCAACGCCCACAGATAGCCTACTTTCTGATATGAAACTACTGTACAAGTAAATATTAGGAGAGATGCTGATGCAGCTCTATTGTGGAACCTAAATCTCCTTCCATTCCATCAATGGCTTTTACACATGTGGATTATCGTGATGTTTTTATCAGCTGTTTAGACTGTCATTCTGACGGCACCCATTCACTGCAGAGGATCCATTGGTGAGCAAGTGATGTAATGCTAAAGTTCTCCAAATCTGTTCTGATAAAGAAACAAAGTAATCTTGGATGGCCTGGGGGTGAGTACATTTTATGCAAATTTTAATTTTTGGGCGAACTATTTCTTTAAAAGCATGTCTGACCTCATACATGTGACTCTAGCCTAATAAGATTCCAGTCAAATTCTGTGGTCCCCACATAACACATAAAGCATGAATGTTCTGATGAAATTTCAAACCTGAGATCAAACCCACAGTAAAGTATCTATAACACCGTTTCTACACCGGACGCGACAGTTGTCGTGTCGTGCCGCGCAGCGCTGCAACAGCTAAAGTCTGTCTACACCGGACGTGACAAAGCAACCGTTGAAAATCATTTGAAATTTGTGTCTATAGGCCTACGTCATAAATAGAACGCGGCAGCAGTTTACTGTCGGGATTTGTCGTGTCGCGCCGCATCCAGTGTAGACAGCATCACTGATTATAATGAGTTCTATCGTATTTTGTCGCGCCACGCCGCTCGCGTCCAGTGTAGACGTGGTGTAAGATAGCATAAGATAGATTGCAGTGGTACAATCTTTAAAAACCCACAAATCTGGGCATGGAAAATGTAAAGTACACAGAACATCCACATGTGCATCTGCAGTTCATTATGAATTGGCTATGCTTTGTTCAAAGGTGCTGTCATATAGCCTAGTCTTTTGAAACTCCATATTGATGTACCCATTGTGTTCCATAGATTTGTTATTTGCAGCAATTATTTTTGGCTGGAAACCTCGTGGGTATCATTTTGCACATGTGGATTAGGAAACAAAATGATTTTACGTGACTATGAAAAAATCGGCAAAGCCTATAATGACAGGGTAAATGTTCTGTGAGAAAACTGGCTCAGGTCAATGTTTAGAAAAAATGAATCTGGGATAAACAGACGGGTGATAAAACATCACTAAACCAAACCCTGTCCAAAACAGGGAAGAAATGTTTTTCATTATCTAGGAATTTTCTACGATCTATTATTTATTCCATCTGTAATTTTCTGACTCCACTTTATCTCCATAGCTCATTTTTGTTTCATACTAGAATCTGCATGGATTTTGTTCTTCTGTATTGTCTGCTAAGCTGCCTCAATACATTTTGCACAACACGTAATTGTTTACAGAAAGAGCGCTCCAAACTTTACAGCTTTTCCCCCTCATCTATGATGATTTACAGTTAACAGACTAGCTCATAACATAAATCTGAACCAAAAGTTGAGGAGGATGTGTCATTTTCAGTGGTGACTCCCCATTGCAGTGGAAGTGGTATTTATTTGATGCTTCAAAGGTTAAACACTCCTTTATTATTTTATTAGTACACCAACGTTACAAAAATAGGGATATTAAAAAATATATATATATATATTAATCCTTTTAGATTAAGGAAACTATGATTGTTGTGGTTTCACTGTAATTTTACGCCTTTTTTCCAATTAAAAGTCCATTAAAAGCTAGCGTGTCTATTGATTATATAAAGATCCGTTTTTGCTGTGGAAAATGAGAAAAAGTCTTAAAGAAATTAGACTGGATTGAGTAGGCATAATGCACGTCTTCTGAAAAACAATATCTGAAAAGAATTAATAAACCACTCAGTGGGCAATTGATGTTGAAAAGACATCAAATTTACATAAAATGTAACATTGAAAAACAGGTCAAAGTTGCAAATCAAACTGATGTCAAAAACATGACGTGACATTGATTTGATGTAAATTGAATGTCAAACATAATATACTAAATAATTTTCAGTGTAACTTCCTTTTTTCACCCAATTGGAATCCACTGGAAGAAATTGCCATCCAAACTGAATTTAAAATGATGTTACAGCATCTTGATC